TTTGCACTGCAGCACCTGTGCAAGCGTTCTGCTGCACACGAGCTGACTTGGCGCTGCTGCTGCTGCTGTTGCTGCTGCTGTTGCTGCTGTTGCTGCTGTTGCTGCTGCAGAGGCACTCCTCCACAGCTCGTCTGCATGCTGCCAGACAGCAGCTCGGCTGCTGCGGGGTAGACGTTCAACAGCAGCAATCAGCCACATCTGGTGCTGCAGCAGCAGCAGCAGCAGCACAAACCCCAGCAGCCGCAGCAGCTGCTGCCGGTACAACTGCCCACCTGGGGCGGCCTCCAGCAGCCGCTGCAGATTCCCCGAGCTGTCTATACACCCCACCAGCAGCTGCAGCGTGAACGCACCTTCGCTCGTGCCGCTGCTGCTGCTGCTGCTGCTGCTGCTGCTGCAGTAGGCCCAAGGTGGATGATGAGCAGCAGCAAACGCATGCACGAGAGAAGCAGCCAGGGTAGAGGCGCGGGGGCCCACAAGCAGCAGCAGCTGCTGCAGCAGCAAATCGAGTTGGGCGCACAACCACTCCAGGTAAGGAAGAGGCAGCCGGCAGGCAGGTGCTGCTGTTGCTGCTGCTGTTGCTGCTGCAGCAACAGACACACCCTCCTGCAGCTCACAAGCAACAAAACCAAATATAAACGAACAATGCGTAAACCCTGTTGCTGCTGCTGCAGCAGCAAAAACATCTGACTACAGCAGCAAGGCAATCCAACTGCAGCAGCAGCAACACCTAGCAACAGCAGCAAAACCAGCCTACTGCAGCAGCAGCAGCAGCAGCTAGCTGCTGCCGCCCGCTAGCAGTTCGCTGGGACTGAAGGCCATGTACGTACCTGCTGCTGCTGCTGCTGCTGCTGCTGCCACTGCTGCTGCTGCAGCTTTGTACCCGTATACAGCGGAGAGCTCCAAAGGCGGCCAACGAGAAGCGCCAGCCGCATTTCTAGGGCCTCAACCCACTGCGGCTGCGGCAGCTGCTGCTGCTCGCTGCAGTTGCTGCTGCTGCTGCTGTCTGCTGCAGCTGCAATGAGGGTCAGACGCGGTAGGTTGCGTCCCTCGAAAGCGGTATTGCTGCTGCTGCTGCTGCTGCTGCTGCTCTTGCTCTGCTGCAGAGATAGCAGCAGCTGCAGGCAGCCCCACCGCGTTTGTGGCGCTGCTGGAGGCTGCAGAGGAAACCCCCTTCTGAATTCGATAGCAGCAACTGCTGCTTCTGATGCTGCTGCTGCTGCTTCTGCCTCCATCTGCAGGCGGCCCAGCACTCTACGCTGCTGCTGCTGCTGCAGCTGCCGCCAGACTGTCTTTGCTGCTATGCGGTGAGCCCGGAGCGCAGCAGCGCCTCGTCGTGCCGCTGCTGCCCCCACAACGCTGCAGCACACACTGCTGCTGCTGCTGTTGCTGCTGCTGCTGCGGGTCGAGATCTCCACTAGTAGAAACTCTGTGGGCGTAAAGAGCCACAGACGTCTGCTGCTGCTGTCTGCTGCTGCTGCTGCTGCTGCTGCAACGTCCTTTCCAGGTGCTGCAGAAACAGCTGAAGCGGGGGCAAAGAGGAACTCCGGAAGGCCTTCGGTGCAGCCCCCCAGTAGCTGGCGCAAGCTGCTGCTGCTGCTGCTGCTGAGCTGCGGCTGCTGCAGCGGCCACCACAAGAGGCGGTCTTCTGCTGCTGCCAGCAACGGGGAGCGCAACGCCAGCCGGCAGCAGCAGTGCAGATGCATCGGTTGCTGCTTCTGTTGCTGCTCTGCAGGAGACATCCGACGGCCAGGAAACGCGAAGAGACAGCAGCACTGACTGTCTGTCTGCTGCTGCAACCTGTTGCTGCTGCTGCTCCTGCATGCTGCTGCTGCCCTCTGAAAAGACAAAGAGGCCATTGCTGCACACAGTAACAGCAGCTTGTTGTTGCTGCTGCTGCTGCTGCTGAAAGTCACGGAAAGGCAGCAGAGAACGAGCCCCGAGGTTTCTGCTGCTGCTGCTGCTGCTGCTAGCTGCTGCCAGCTGCTCCTGGTATTGTGCCGCATCTGGGGAGAGCAGAACAGAAACAAGTCGCAGCGAATAGCTCTCTCCTTTGTGCGAGCAGCAGCAGCAGCAGCACGTTGATGGCGATCCACTAGCAGCACCACGCGGTCTCCTCTCGAGGTGATGAGAGTCAGCAACGGGCAGCCATCGGGCGTGAAGGAGCAGCACAAGTCCGCCACCTCCAGCTGCTCTTGCTGCAGCTGCTGCTGCTGCTGCTGCTGTAGGAGCTGCTGCTGCCAGCAGCTGGCGGCCATGTACGCCACGCATTC